ATGTTTTTTTAACCATAAAAATTCTATCACAATTGACTAACGTAGTCAATAAAATTGCTGCTTTCCGCTTAAAAACTGCAAGTTGATTGGTTATACATTTTTCGAACCAAAATCTCGGACCGATTTCTAGCAACATGGATCATGGATGTTGGACTTAAAAATTTACTATACACATGATGTAGAGATGACGCCACACGAAGTATAATATGTATAAAACTAAGCGATGTATTATACTGTACAATACCAAGTATAATACAATGTAAAATACCTCACGTATAATACGTGCCCAACCCTGGATATGACGGCGGCGCATAATGATACCGCGATATGTGCATGAATGGCAGGATTCTTCTACGAACAGCAACACAAGAGAGTTAGAGAGAAAGAGAAACAGAAAGAGAGAGAGAGAGAGAGAAAAAAGGAAAAGGAGCACAGAATACTTATGACGACACTACACACGTGTGCCACACGCGGTACAGATCGATAGTGTATTGAAATATTCACTGTGTAACGCGATGTGTGCCGAGGCGGCGTCGGTACGTCAAGGTCCCTCCGCCAAGGTTATTATCTCCGCTTGATCCAGGCATGCGATGCCACGCGATGTCAGTTGAGCGACGACGGTGGCCTTTTGCAATGGTACCTCGAGTGACAGCGAGTATTACGGTCCTGGAAACGTGCTCCGCGTTGGTTGAGACCAGGTGAGAAGCGCGTACTTTCACGTCACCCCGGAGGGGTGCGCGAGAGAAAGATAGGAAACACGCCGAGGGTGACACAAGTGGAAGGAGAGACACAGAACGAGCGTCAGAGACGCGGCGCACTCGTGGCGAACGGCACCCTCGCACTGGCAAGCGTGCACGAGGCGTCGCGACGCTTCCCAGGGCCGTCGAAACCACGGTTCCCCCGCGACACGCCGCGAACTAGAGACAGGAGACAGCCGCCGTGAGAGACGTGAGAGAGCCGCGCTACGTGATGAGCCTATCCAAGAGCGCGCGAGCTAATTGCTCTCTCGTGCGCAGTAGTTTCGATATCTCTTCCTTGTTTGAGTATCTCGAAGGAGAGACTCTAAGCTAACGCGTATCATCGTCGCATTTGGCGAGCACCGGTATATACCGACGATAATATCTATTTTAGAAGAGGCTCCCCTTCCTCCTCGCATGAGGACGGAAATTTGAGAGAACGGCCCAAGTTAAATTAGAAATTAATTTTTGCATGTCCGTCACAATGAATTACGCGAGTAATGCGAAGTGACATTGTCATATTGCGTTCGCTCTGACGGAAATATCGTCTCATGTACACGAGTGAAGAGACGGATTGCGGCATTTCTGGCTCTTAAATATGCGTGAGGTGTTTCGCTCGCATATGATTCTAAGAAATTCGAGGAAATTGAAAATTTGCTATTATGACGAAAGTTTTATTAATAACAATTTAATAATCACAGACGCACCAATATGCGATTATAGAACAAGATTTTTGAAAATCACTGAAGGAAGTGTCTTTTTGCAAAAGATCGTTTATCAAACGCGAAATATGTGGAGAACAGAATAAAGGCGTTGTGAATCTTCGCTAAATTAGACTCCGAAGGACGAAAACACGGTTTCAGGATCATCCATGTGGAATCGTTTCTTATCGCGCTCGTAAGATCTCCGGCCGGCAGATAACGTCGAGTTTGTATGTATATATGTATCTCAAATTACCTTTCGCGGATACCCTCACATTTTCTTGCGATAGTCTTATATGTCTGCTTGCGACTGTTTTATAGATTTTCAAAAAGCGTATCTTTTTTATATCAAGGCTTTCGCGACTACAAAAATTTACAATTTATACTATATATATAAATATAATTTACTATATATTTACCTACAACATAATTTATATATATATAAACACATTATGATTTACAATATTTTGCATCTTGCGCAAGAGACAATAAATTACGTATAGAATTACGTGTTTATTTACCGACTAAATTCTCTATGTAAACACATTGATATGTATTTGACTTCAAACATTTCTGTTTCGTTGTGCAAACAAATATCCGCGCTATAAATAAAGTGACATTCGCGAGTGACACACTGACACTGATCATCTGTGTCAAAACGTTCATCAACAACCACGTTTCATCGAAAAGAAACGACTACAGGACTAACTAAGCGGGCAAGAAAATGCGAATTGTCTGCAATGTCGCAGAAGTACCTCATCACTGTCGTTATTTCAATTCCGAGTTCTTGGGAACAGAAAAAGCAGTGGTGCTTGAGGAATGCATAATAAGTGCGGTGTATCTTGTGTAGTGGGAGTAATTCATACAAAACAAGTGAAGAAGTCGAGCACAGATGCGGCCTGTCCCGCTAATAATGATCCTTGTAACGCTTTTTCTACTAGCTACTGCGGGGGTAAACAGAAGCCGGGTCGCGTTGTGTGTTATTGCGCGGAAATAACGCACTGAATAATCAGACAATTACACAACCACGTATTTACCATCCAATTACCCCGCGACATGTTTCAAAATATAATTACGGTATGTTAAATCGTCAAACTTCACAATTACGAGAACACACGCGATTGCGAAGGTGCGTGTCGCGTCGTCTCTTTCAAGAACCATTGCGACAAAATATTCTATTTGCGTTATTACTCTATTCAAAACGTAACTGCTGCCTGTGGTGGCAAATTTTTTGGTCGCAAGTTTGGCGACGCGGAATCGCCATTTATTTTTCAACGTAGAATTTTCTGACGACGTTCGAAACTCCGCCTGCCAAGAATCACACGTTCGCGAGGTAGCTTTTTTCCCCGGAAATTCGTCTTTTCGACGGCTAGCGCGACGTGCACGTTGAAAAAGAAAAAGAAAAAGAGAGAGAGAGAGAAAGGAGGAGAAGAAAACGAAAGCAGAAAACGCGTTACCGCGTTTGTTGCACACTTCGAAGGATTTATACTTCAGTCGCTAAACTCATCTATCAGCTCAATAAAACTACGTTTGCGAACGCGTATGGGCGGTCAGAAGTACTTCAATTTATCTCTTTAAATTAGAGAGTTATCCCCGTCGCTTTTTTATTGTCTTATTTATATTTTGTGTGAATTTACTTGCGCTACGTAAATAAATTCCAAAAGTTCGGTGACAGAGTGACAAAAAAAAACGTGTATCACTTTTACGGAGACATTATCTGAACCACTGACATAAATTACTCGAAATTCAGATCGAAATTCGTGATATAGAGATCGACTCCTCGCGATCGAACTTTTCCGCGGGGACAAAAACGCGCGCTGTTATTTACATGCCGCGACGCAGCATGCGGATTTTATTCTTGGCATCCCGCTAGGAAACTAAAGTTGTCGCGAGTATTAATAGCGCGACGGCGCGATACGGCAAGACTATGAATATATCTCAAGGTGTTCGGCGTGACAGATGACTCGCGCTACTATAGCGCAGAACTCCGAAAGAACAACATTTGGGGAAAATGTCATAAAGTGTTATGAGAGAGATCGATCAATCTCGATCGAGGAGATTTTGCTCGAATTTGTCACGCAATTTCATCCGAACGCTTTGCCGAACCCGTTCCATACGGTTTTTCGCAACGTGCTTTCCCGATATATATGTATATATATATGAGAGAGAACTTTATTCAAATTTGTGCCGAGCATTACCCGCGAAAGGACATGTGCTAGAAAAATCTTCGTATTGCATTCTCATGTGGTTCGAGTCGCGATCTTTCTGGACTCTTAAATTTCGATCTTTTTTTTTTTTTTGCACGAGGCTGTCTCGAAGTAAAATTGTCGGACGAGATTTTTTACAAATTTTGAATCGAAGAAACTCTCACGTGTATACATACGTTCGGTTCTTCGAATTACAATGCATTCGAATTTACGGGCATAAAGATCGATTAGGCTGCAGGTTGCGTGCGTTCTGCAACCTTGCATGAATAAACTCTGGCAAAACCTCCCGTGACTTGCTGTATATTTAACGGGATGTAGCTGACATTTTTACGGAATGCGATAGATACATGTGTTACTCTACGAGCGATTATCGTTTCCGCTTTGACGTGTAATTTCGAAATGGATTCCGCGGGCATTTTAAACGGTGAATTTTTATCCGTCTTATCTGTTTTATATCTTTGGTATAATTTTCTCTCGCGATCTCGATTTACTTAAAAGTAATAGAGTACGAGAAGCTACTTTAACTAATTACCTCGCAAAGAAGGCAATAACGGATCAAATCCATTACTTGATTGCGTCTTTTAGAGACGTTCGATACGGAGAGATTGTCAATTACCCGCGCGATATAGAGGTGTAAAATTTCGGCAAACTGCGTTTCTTTTTATAGCGCTTCAAAAGCGAGGTTTTTACGAGGAGGGATTTATACGGGTCATGATCGCGTTGAAAAACGATTTTGGCAACAGTAACGCGAGGCAGGCATCACGTATATTCGTTAATTAATTCACTCCGAGTTAAATAGTCTCGTCGACGTTGCAGTTCTCTCTCTCTCCCTCTCTTTCTCATATATCACTTCCGCACATTGGTTCATTGTGAAACCACCTGTGACGTATTTGGCACTCTAGCTAATCCGTTTTTCCGAGACGATTCGCTGGAGAAATACCCAGAGTAATAAATAATAATTTCTGAATTGTGGCTCTCTCTTTCTTTTTTTTTTTTTTTTTTTTTTTCAAGGAAATTTAATTTTATCGAACCTTTCGGTTGTATCACGGAAGGATGTGCACCGGTATTTCATGTATGCACGAAAGCTACATTGAGGAAGGGGAGATATATATTGAGTACAACATCGATATGTTGCTCTCTGAATAGCAAGGTCGGAAGACAAAGCCGCAGTCAAATATATTTTTTCAATTTACACAAAAACACGAATGATATTTCAAACATTTTCAGGAAGAAACGAGATCAAATTTTTTTTCTCCTAAACCCGACACTTCATTAATCTTTATAAACGTTTTGCGGGCATTTTAAACGGCGAGAATGTTTCGTTTTATCTTTATTTTTCTTTTCTATTTTGATCTGTTGAAAATAATAAAAAAAATTATCGCATAGGTTAAATCGATGCTTCGCATTGTATATATATACATACATACATATTATTATTGACGTTCGAAATTATTATATACGGAAAAGAAAAATAAACATCATCGTTTTACTCAGTCAAATGATCGAGACAGCCTTGATGTCGTTTCGCACCGTCGCGTCGCGCGCGCGCGCGCGCAATCTCTTACCCGCAAATTTATTATTTCGCACTGATCGATGCGAAAACGTTATTACAGACCGAGAAATATATTTAGTGTCGTGCGCGCACCTAATGCGGATACGTATTTAAATTCTGTCGCGACCTTCGTTGGCTCGACTAATACGCAATGCCGCGCTTCATTTATACACAGTTTGTCCGGAAAGTTCCCGGACTACGTGAATTAAAAATCGAAAATGAAAGATATGGTTTATTAAACAAGTTTACACTTCAAGG